GAAAATTTGTCGGTTTGTCCTCCCCTCTACGTCATTTTGGACAGCAGTCCTAATTGCCGACGTCACGATCAACATCTGAAAAGAGGAGGTGCATTCAGATCAAGTTTCTCCTGTATATTCGCAAAAGTTCTTCCTGCAAAACACCGGAACATGCCCTCTTTCACGTGATCGAAAAGACGCCGGTATGGTCCGAGCGCTGAATTTGTAGAAGGGCAATATGTGCAGGCGATCTTTGCTGCGCGGCTGGGTAAAAAAAAAGTAGACAGACTTGCGTTCTTCATTGAAATTATTTGAAAAGTGTAGCTATTACAAATGTGTCATATTACCGCTGCGAGCTGTTCAACAATCAAATATCGCCTGGCGTCCCTACCCACGAAAAAAACACGTCGAGGGTGTCTCATAGATCCATTTCGTCACCCATGCGTGAATCTACAGCATCCTGCGAATAGGGGTCCCCACACATACATACAGCGCGAGTCCTCAGCACTGAATGGGTGTCCTCAATTGGGATGGATGTCCTCATCACATACCTCGTTGTCCAGGTGAAGTGGAGCATGGGTATGTGGCCGGTTTACGCGGATGCGCCCACCGCTCAAAACGGCCGTCCCCAAGCATCTCACTGCAGTGTTCTCACGCTGGTGGCACCTGGTGACATACGAGATAGCTGTCACACGCCATATTGTGTGCTACATAATGGATGGCAAGCAGAGCGTAAAAGACACAAAAACAATGGCATGTGTTATAATGCTTTCATACTGGAACACAAAATGAGACAATCTGTTCACTAGTCGTGTGTCGTGGGCTGGAAAGATCAAGAAAAGTAAAAACAAACAAATACGGTAAAGAAGTGGTTATACGCGTCACAGTCGTTCATCTGGCCCATACGCTACTGGCATCATGGTAAAAGATTGAACATGGCCTCATGTTTCCTTGCATGGCCTCACATGACCTATTGCGACCTCATGCATTGGAATGATATCACTACATGTCCTGACTGGAACCAGAGGAGCGTCATTGCGCGATGCGCAATTTGCGTTTTGTGTACCGTTTTATTCGGTGTGGTCGCTTATGATCTGACCGCTAATGTGTCTCATCCTTTGATTATATCAAACACTTTTATGGCCGGATCTGGCCATGCCAAAAATTTGATACGATGACAGGACCAGCTTGGCCTTACTGCACAAATAATGTTACTCAAAATGACCGAAAAGAATTGTTTACAAGCATGTATCTCAGCGCTCTCCCCGCACCTGCTTAAGTCCTGCCTCCTCCCCTCCCATTGCACTGGGCTATTCTAAAATATATTAAGACATCATTTACCCAAGAGTTCCGGATGACTCAATTTCAGCTAACCGCATGACAAATCTGAGCAGTTCCACCTAAGAATACCTTTCACAAACAACACTTCATCAAAATTAGCCGGCTTATGCATTGTGAACGACAGCTCGCGCACTGTGAACCACCTGAACGCGCTGACCATGCGCTGTCGGGCTGCTGCAGAATAGCGTGCACTAGAAATGTGTGCGCACAGGCTCTTGTGCTTTAGTCTCACTGTTGTCTTTCGTCCCGCATCCGCCATGGTCCAGGCAGCCGAATGGCCACTGGCATGTCTAAATATTTTCCGCGCTTGAATGTGACATACGGCATATGTGCGTTAGACAGTCCAAATTAATCATTCAAAGACGTTAAGCCGGCTGCACACAGAAACGAACATTAGCGCTACTGCAATGCTCGCTGCTTGTCTCAGAGAATCATTTTCTCCTTGTTTAGCTACAACCGCGGCATGCCCATTGATGCGCCTGAATATCTTTCGCGCGGAGGACCGGCAGAAACTCGTGATTTCAAGGCCAATGTGTAGTCGACATGTCGGCAAATCAGGGCGGTAATTTGCATGACCTGTGCAATGACGGATGTTTGTGGTAATTGCAACCAAACCATGGCGAAATGAAAAATGTTTTGGGTGAACATTGGTCACTGTAAACCGGGCTTTGCGCCTGTATCATTGTTACAGCCCGGGCTCGTACCGTTTAGGCTTCAGTGTCATGTATGTGATATTAGCTTGGAAAAAACCGCAATGGGTCGCTTCCCGGCCGTCTGCCAGCGTGTTATTACCAGTTGACCTCTTTCACCTGACCAACGTCACTGATCTTAGAACATTATAATTTCAAGTTTGTTGAAAGAATGCGAAATTGATGGATGAAGAGGTTTTGAGAACTTTGCGTTGCTGCGAGCGTTCTTTTTCAGCTTGTGCTCCAAGAACAGTAGGGGAAGTCAACTTCCCATCACGACCGGGCGTGGGTTGTCGCATGAGCAAATAAAGCACTGCTATAAGGTGAAGGACTCGGGTACTCACTGGAGATATGTGCTGAGTCCAATCTTGGTTTTCGAAACGTAGATATGGCCGTCAGCACATGCGTAGACGCGGCTGCCCCGTCGCCTACCTTCCCGCACCTCATACTCCATGATAGTCTTGAGGGCAAGGCAGTACCACAACCAGGACCGTGTGATGGCGCGATCACAACTGGCGCGATAATGCCGCGAGGGTCGGTATCGAAACCCTATAATGTTTGTAACCACTAATGTATCGCAACGCCTAATGTATCACAACCGCTAGTGCTTCATAACGCCTAATGTACGTAGCACCTAATGCATCATAACCCCTAAGGTATCGTAACTCCTAATGTATCGACAACACCTAATGTATCGCAATTCCTAATGCATCGTAACTCCCTAATGTGTCATAACGCCTAACGTATTGTAGTCCCTAATGCTCGTAGCCTCTAATGTAACACAACTCCTAATATATCATATTCCCTAATGTATCATATAACACCTAGTGTCTCATAACACCTAATGTGTCGTAAGACCCAACGTATTGTAATTCCGCCAACCCCCGCCAGCCCACCAACAGCGATACTGCCCACAGCCATGCTCTCGGTCTCAGCGTTACTTTCAGGCATGGTTTCAATTTGCAGACCAACCACGAAAATAAGGCATTTAACTTCACACGCGCAGGATGAGACGCTCCGCGTTCTCCAGTGGTCCGGTCACGAACGGCCGCCAGCAGGTCAGCGGCAGCCGGAAGGCGGTCAGCAGCGGTCAGCCCGCACCCACGCCGACCGCGCGGAGCAGCAGCTGACCCGTCAGGAGCCGACAGACCAGAACAACGGAGACCGGCACGCAGGTCAGTTGAAGACCAGCGTACAGAGACGCCGCAGACCAGCAGGCGGGGCGTCGTGAGCCAGCAGGCAGAGCAGCTAGTCTGTTGGCTGACCAGATAGCCTACTAGCCTGCGTGACCGGCGCCGCCTGCAGGTGAGCAGACCGGGCCGGATACACACCCTGTAGGCCGGCAGAAACTCAGAAGAACAGGATCGACCCGTCAACAGCACACGGCCCAGATCGAGCGTCCGTACACGTGACCAGCAGCATCGATCAATCACAACTCAGCGCTCGGTGCAACTCAGCTTCCAGCTTCACGTCTGCAGCTTGTTAGTGCCCGCGCGTGCCGGCAGGTGGACGACTGGATATGGGCAGGCGGTCTTCAGCTGTAAGATGCAGCCTTCCACCACCGCTCAAAGTGCGCGCGGGTCGGTAGCACACCCAGGAGCGGCGTTTCGCAGGTCGAGCGGGCTTCACGGCAGGGCCAAGGGTTCGAAAGTCCGCTGCCGCCACTTGTAAGCTCGACAAACGTGGCGAACTTCGTGGCGTGTATTACCAGGCGCATATATCCACCTCCACGCCCGCACGGGCCGACGTCCGTCCCGAACTGGCGTAAGGGGGCCCGGACCCGAGGTCGCATGCCAAGCGGCCGGCACGCCGCCAACCAATCACCGGCCGGGTCACAGCGCCCCGGGCACCGCGACCTCTGACCACCAAACGGTCAGGACGCGCCGCGCGGCCGGGAGCGGAGAGGCCAACACATGCAAAATCGTTACATATACACGTGCACCTGAGTGCATTCGCTAAAAAGCGCTCCCTGGCACGGCACTCCCCGCATCGAACGGTTCCTACACAAATCCGGAGCATGCTACATCGACTCCATGCATAGCTTTCCGACTGTGTAAACTATAAACCTTGAGGGAGACCATCCAGAAACTATCATCTTAGAAAGAAATTATCACCATAGAGGCAAGAACATCGCCAAGTCTGAAAAAAATGTAGGAAAGAACAACCCCATGTTTGGCGCCTAAAGAGTGACGTCGGCTTCTGCAGCACCGCTTTACCGAAGTGAACTCACGTATTACAGCTTTTCCAATCCAGAGGCCATGGTATCTCTATCGCTCCCCGCCCACATGTGTGGCCAGAAGCCCATGTTTCTAGTCGGTAAGCAGCCTCCGAATGACCAACGTTTTCAGATACACTCGGCTGTTTGGAGCAAGTGAGCAACGGTGACACCAAATATGAGCGCACCATTATCACCTCAGATATTCTTTGTGATCATGTGGTTGAGACATGGCGCCACGCCATGAAGCACTGCCTGGTGTACTGCTGGTCCGCGTCACTGCCTTGGCGTGCTGCTGGGCCACGTCACTGCCTTGGTGTACTGCTGGTCCGCGTCACTGCGTTGGTGTACTGCTGGGTGCGTTGGTGTACTGCTGGGCCACGTCACTGTCTTGGTGTACTGCTGGACTATGCCACTGCATTGGTGTACTGCTGGTCCATGCCAATGCATTGGTGTACTGCTAGACCGTACCAGAATAACAACACAAAATGGCGCATGATGCTGCTGACGTGCTCTTGACACCTCAAGCCTTTCGAGACTAATTACAGGATGTCTTACCCACTAATCTCAAATCTAGGGAGCCCGAACCCTGATTGTACAGTGAGCATGTCAAGAGCAATCGGTGTTTGAAAACCCCGCACACCCAAGGATACACCGCTCACGAAAAGGAGCCACATTAAAACTCCCTTTGCAAAATCACATATATTTAGCACACACTTCATAACGGCACCACCGCGCCCCACCCCCTCAGCCCCCCCCCCCTCCCCCCTGTGCCCGCCACGCCCACGGCCATCACTCCTGCTCCCGGAGCACAAACTTGTCCGCCTCGGCCACGTAAGGCACGGTGCCCGGCCGCGAGTGCGCGCGCCGGTTGGCCTCCTTGCGCTTCTGGCTGGCGCGCATCACGCGCTGCTCCTTGCGGCCCGTGAGCACCTGCCGTGGCACCTGGCGGTGGCGCTGGATGCGCGCCACCTGCGGGTGGCTGCCGAACTTCTCCACCAGCCGGCTGTTATAGTTGCGCGCGGCACGCTCGCGCTCCTTCAGCACGCCCAGCTTCTCGCTGGCGCGCGCCTTCCACAGGCGCACGTTCATCTCGTCGCTGCCGCTCAGCACGTACTTGTCGTCGCCGCTCCAGCAGACGCACGCGACGCGCTGCATGCGCCGCGTGTGGTAGATATCCCGCGAGTGTGCCTGGCATGGAGGAGACCAGCCGTCACCACACAGCGGTGCGAACAGCCACGCCGTTTGAGACATTATCGTTCTCTAACACGCTTATTTCGTGTTCTAATGAAGATATAGGATACTCTTTCCTCAACTAAAACGCCAGGCAAATAGCAAATTCATCGGAATAAACAATACAAATCAAGCCCTGGGTATTACGTCGGCATGTGCTGCTCAAGTCACCATGCACACAGTGACCCACTATACAAAATCTATATCACCAGCGCAAACTAAAGGTTTCCGTCTTGGCAATACCAAACAGCGTTGCTAAATACGACATGCACACTTCTCTTCCTCATTCACAGCCCTCCCACCAATCTGACGCCCCTGCATCAATCCCATCTCCAGAAAGACAGTACACACCAGGTTTTCATAGCGGGCGACGGAATGGGCCACTGCGACAACCTACAAAGCTCTGATGTATTCTGGATCAGAATCAGACGCGTGTTCTGAGACCAACACGCTCCCGCATCACACCAGGAGCAGTAGCCAGCGTCCACCCACCACTGAATCCGACGCTGAGACCGGGCCCGACCCCGCCGGCACCGGCGCCGTCCCCTCTTACCTCCCTGGCCCCGAAGATGCGCAGCGTCTTGTCGTAGCCGCCGGAGACAAACTCGCGGCCAGTGGGTGAGTAGTCAACATCGATGACGGCCGATACGTGGTCCTTGTGGATAACGAGCGGCCGCCTAAGGCGTCGCATGTCCCAAGAGTACAGACTGGCGAAGGAAGGGAGGGGAGACAGAGTGAGTCGCTCTCGTCGGCGGCGTGCGTCGACCGCAGCGCCCGACGACGTGTCAGCTGCCGCGGCAGGTCGGCTGGCCGGAGCGGGGCGACGGAGGGGCTCTGTCACCGGCGAGGTGTGTCAGCTGCCGCGGCAGGTCGGCTGGCCGGAGCGGGGGGACGGAGGGGCTCTGTCACCGGCGAGGTGTGTCAGCTGCCGCGGCAGGTCGGCTGGCCGGAGCGGGGGGACGGAGGGGCTCTGTCACCGGCGAGGTGTGTCAGCTGCCGCGGCAGGTCGGCTGGTCGGAGCGGGGGCGACGGAGGGGCTCTGTCACCGGCGAGGTGTGTCAGCTGCCGCGGCAGGGCGGCTGGTCGGAGCGGGGCGACGGAGGGGCTCTGTTACCGGCGAGGTGTGTAAACCGGACGCAGGGCATCTCAAGTCATTTAAACAATAAGGATAGTGGGTTTACGTCTCACCGACTGACAGGACCATTCCGAGAACAAAAGCCATTCAGGCAGAGGTGTTCCCAGTCACGCTTTAGGTCATGATATTGCCCTAGCATCGTTACGTCGCACTCATACACTGTACAAGAAGACAGTGTCCCGTCCCCGACGAGGCGTACGGGTGACGGTGCTCGAAGCTGTGACTCCCCCCCCCCCCCCCCACACACCCACACTCGAGTAGCGCGCGACCGCGGCTCACTTGTAGTCCTCGTTGGCGGCGGTGAAGACGAACGCCTCCATGGGGTTCCATGCGATGACGTTGGAGCGCAGCTGGGTGGTGACCCGCCGGATCGGCTGCAGCTCCCGCGTGTCGTACAGGATAATGCTGCGGTCGCTGGCGCAGGCACCTGGACCACGCCGCGCTCTCGTCAGTCGCCGCCCCGCCCCGCCAACGCATCAAAGCGGCCACCCCGTGGACTACGCGCTGGGTCGGACGTCTGGCCCGCAGACACGGCGACGTTGATGGTTCACATGTAACCTTCAAACAGAATGATAATTATCGATAGACACCATCTCTAATGCCGGAGCAGTGACCACAAACCGAGCAACGGAGCACTGAACACGCGGCAGCAGCGAAGGCCCTGCGGCGGCCTCCCGGCAGCGGCCTCCCCCTCTGACGACCGCGCGGCTCACCCAGCATGTGCGTCTCCACCGGGTTGAAGCGCACGCAGCTGAGGCTGTCAACGCCCCAGGAGAACGTCTTGAGCGGCTCGTTGCGAGACTCTTCCCAGATCTGGCATGTCTCGCCACACGTGGCGAACTGCGGCCTGCCCACCGCGTGGCTGATGCTCGTTACTATGGTCTGCCGGGCGCCGGACATAGGTCACCACCGGTCAGCGGCGCTACACAGGCCACCCAGTGTCTGAAGACCACGCTGAGACAAGACACCCTGATTGGAAGACAAGACAGCTTGAGTGGTGGACGTGGCAGCTTTGGCAGCGGCCGTAGGCAATTTTGCCGCCTTGGCGTTGTGCCGAGTTCGGCATATTCGAGGCGGTGGTGGTTAAGTAGCGAGGGCGCACGACTCTGGACCTGTCGGCGTTAGGCTTCGGCCCTATCCACGCCACCACCACATACCAAACACCTATGAAGGCATCCGTCTCGAAAAAGCCCCGGCAGTTGGTAAAATGCGAAGCCCCAATCACTCTTATGATTGAAGGGGTTGTTTCATATGTATGGTTAGGTGAGTTATTAAGGCAAACATCAGATATGATGGAACAAGCTCACTTATAATTATTGCTGCTTTTTTAGTGTAAAAAGCCGCCCTAGACAGCGCAATCCTCTGTTTAGAAACCATGCTCCTGAATACGTCATGGTCTGATCATGTCACGTCACCCTGCACAACATTGCTTGAGAGCCAAATGACGGCCGTTATATTTGGAAGTCGTGCTGACGAACGCCAGACGCTAGGTACGAACGCCTCGACAATGATTTTTTCATTGGCCTTAATCGCCGCATGACTTATGGTACGACGGTACATCAATGACGTGATTATGGTATGAATGTCAAGGTGACTTTGAAACACTCTCCCACATTTTCGCAGGCAAATAGCTCAAAAACTAGAGAGGCTTAGGTCTTAAGGAGAGGGTTGTGAGCCGCACCGAACGGATTTCAAGATGCTTATTTCAGTTCAAACCCCCGTCTAAATCTGGAACACTCCCTTTAAGTTGGGCACATTGCGGCTACGACTGCCAAAACGGCAAAAATGAAGAAAACACGTGGAATGCATCAAACGGATAAAAGAAATAACCTGACGAGCATTTTTGCTTCCCCAGCGGTAAATACATGATTTTCTTTCAGTCTGACGACTTCCGCACAAGCTGCGGCGCACCGCAGGAACCATATAGCGAGGCCTGCGAAAGGTGCTGCTGGTTCGGCCATCGTTACTCTAATCAAGCTGAAATGGCAAAAACACATCCAGGTCGTCAGGTAATCGTCCACACACATCTCCATACAAATCTATGAGATGGGAGCCGCAATTTGTCACGTTCTCCGAGGACTCGTGGTGGAAAGCTCCATCAGCTATACCAAGTTAGGTATGCTGGCAAGCAAAGCGACAGAATGCACGTGCTCAGCAGAGCGATACCAGAACAGGAAAGAAAAAAACACCATCGTATCTGACGAATTTAAGCACCGGAGTCCCAGCTTGCTCACCCTCAGCAGGACAGTGTTTTCTGGTTCCTCTTCTTCGTCCTCGTTGACAGCTCCCGAACGCCATCTCTTGATCGTCTTATCGTCCCCGACGGTAAAAAAAGCGCTGCCGTCGATCGTGTGCGTCATGGCGCGGATATAGCCCTCGTGAGCCTGGATGGTGCGCAGACACCGCATCTGCGCCAGATCCCATATCCGGACCTGCAGAACACGGGGCTCAGCTGAGCCTGGATGGTGGGCAGACACCGCATCTGCACCAGATCCCATATCCAGACCTGAAGAACACAGGGCTCAGCTGAGCCTGGATGGTGGGCAGACACTGCATCTGCGCCAGATCCATATCCAGACCTGAAGAACACAGGGCTCAGCTGAGCCTGGATGGTGCACAGACACTGCATCTGCGCCAGATCCCATATCCAGACCTGCAGGACACAGGGGCTCAGCCAAAGTGTAAATGAGACAATTTCTGGATATCTCCTGTCAGTGATCCCCATGCACCATGCATGTTGATCCCACCATCACTATATACGAATTCTACCAACAGTCCACCAGTTTCTGGTACAGTTCATCTACTTTTCCGCCATAACGTGTAATTATCGCTATTTCAGCAGCTCATGCAGCAGCCCACTCATATTTCATCTCACTGTCAACAAAGCACGTGCACATCTAAAGTTTCCACTTATGTACAGCTCAGACCTTTGCCAGCAGCCCCGTGTTCAACTCACCTCCCCATCCACAGTCCGTGTACAGCTCAGACCTTCGTCAGCAGTCCCGTGTTCAACTCACCTCCCCGTCCACAGCCCCGTGTACAGCTCCGACCTTCGCTAGCAGCCCCGTGTTCAACTCACCTCCCCATCCACAGCTCCATGTACAGGTCACCTCCTCGTCCACAGCTCCATGTACGGCGTACCTTGTCGTCAGCAGCCTCCGTGTATAGCTCATCCATTTGTCAGAACCCTCCATATACAGCTCATCCATCAGCCAGCAGCCTCCATATACAGCTCAACCACCCATCAGCAGCCTCTATGTGCAGCTCATCCACCACTCAGAAGCCTCTGCATACAGCTCACCCACCCGTCAGCAGCCTCCACTGTACGGCTCACCTCTCCGTCCGCGGCGCCTGTGTACAGCTGTGACAAGCTGGTCGGATGCTTGCTCAGTGCTGTCACGCTGTCCCGGTGGCCATCTAGACTGCCCAGAAATGGCTTGGCGAACATGCGGCTCAGCTTAACAGCGTTCATGGCGCGCGTGTATTCGCGCGGAGCCGTGAACGGGTGCAGCTCTGGGTCGTAGTTCCTGGGCACTGAGGACATTACACATGGAGTTAGCTGGAAAGTGAAATGGTAAATCCTTAACCCCTCAGCAATGACAAAGAGCACTGTGGCTTATTTGAGCACATACACATTCATGCTTTCATCAACAAATTGAAAAAGGCACGCGTAATCACTTGGGGACACAATTCACCCATAACAAATTCCTTAAGACAACAAAAATAGAAACGCCACCCGACAGGGAGGTTGGAAATCAATAGCAACATTCATATCCTTCATAGCTTATAGGGCCTATATGGCCTACATTGTGATGATCAGCATGCCACATTGGTAACCATACTTACTCTTGAAAATATCTTTCTTGGTTTCTCTCAGATAATCATCTGGATTTCGAACCAGACACTTCACCTTCATATTGCAGTTTTGTTTCTATGGTTCAAAATGTGATGACTAAATCACAGATTAGAACTACTTCTTGACAAACCAATGCAAAAATGGTAACACATCTGACCAGAGCTGTCAAGATCTGCAACAGAAAATCTAGTTCAATATATCAGACCAGAATGAATGACATGTGTATGGTAATGACAATGAATGTTCAATTGTTAAGGGTTTTATGAACTGCAAGCACATGGTCATCTCATACTGTTTTACTAATAACTTGTGTTTCATTGATAACATGTCAGCTCATGTGACCTGACATGAAGGTGCGCTACCAGGCAGACAACTCTGCACCCTAGCACACCTGGAATGCATATTTGTGTAAATGTAGACTATCATCTAAGTTATGTGATGCTATGTCCTTGCATTTGCTGCATGCATATAGTTGAGCAGGACAACCAGTCCTACCAACAGAGCAAACACCACCATCCGGCCTGCCAATTGACATTTCAAAAGGCAGCGAGCCAACAAGTAGGCAAAGGTTTTTCAAATGAATGCACACCAACTCATGTTCAATGTATGCTGCAATTGTGCCATGATCCAGTTTTAGTGATTGAGACTGTACTGCTCAAGACTTCATATAACTCAATATACTCAAAAATTTGGGTATGTAGGTACATGTATACAGCATACCAAATATTAACCCTTTAGAAGGATGTGCCACCTTGTTAAAAATACACTGCATCACATGGGTGCCACTGAAAAGCCCCACACATGAAGACGGACTTCTCTCAGTCCACTCTGCACAAAAATACCTTACTCCCTACACAGTTACGATGGAATTAACTGAAAGTTGTGTTTGCAGGGTCTTACATTAGCAGACAACAATAATGCATTGGCAAGGACTGAGCTGCCAAGTGCTTTACATATTTGAGACACCAAAACGAGCACGCCACCCGCGAGGCACGTGTTCCCAGCCTTTCGGCCGACAATGCTTCGCGGAAGGAAGAGCGTCGGCTTAGGTCTGTAATGAGGACCTGCTAATCAGCTGACGAAACGTCGCTGCCAGGCCTGGTAAATCAACCAATGACAAGTTTTGCGCTCCCCATGACGTCACTGGTAGAGATGTGGGATCAGATTTCTTTTACTTCTCAAGACATCGCAAGGATTCAAAAGCTACTTATGATGACAACATTGAAAACCAAGGAGGTATTCGTAAGAACACAGGTCCTGCATCCTACTGATAACGTCGCTGGGACGAATGAATCATTCATCGCTTGAAAACTTTCAGATGGTACACGTTTTTCGACTGTGTTTTTCCGCTGCTCACGACGTTCGGGGAGACTGTTACGGTGTACGTGTATCTGCTTGCGTAATCGTGGCTTACATTATTATGGCGATGCCATTTGAAAAAAATGAAGTAAAAGAATGAGCCGCGCTTTACCTGCTGCTCATGACGTCAAGTGACACGAGTTATGGTCTACGTTTCGTATCACTAGGGAGCCTGATAATGGCAGAAAACTACCTTTCCCAGCAGGCTTCCTCAAGAAACTTCTGTAAGAAGGGTCCAAGCGATCCATGAGCAAACCGCATTCAGACATGTCCACGCTGAGTTGCCAGTTGGGCCGGAGAAAAGCATGAACTGACTCAACGGTTTCGGCTACCGGCATCATCTGTCTTTAACATACATTCCAAAACAGTGTCCATCGATGCAACCACTCGCGGCCACCATTTTAACACGATTTGGACGGCAATGGTTTCTCCTATTCTTGAAACGCGGGTTCCGTGAGTGTTATGACACCCTCATCATTAGACACTTTCTGAGAATATATGCAGAGCATTAGCGTAATGGCAATGGATGGAAAGAATCGACTACAATAAGACTATTAGCACCCTCACTTTCTGAGACGCTCCTACGTCTATGTTTCGGGTGCCAACGCCAGATCTTGTATTACATTTGCAGCCCAACTCTTCAATTTACCTTCCGGCCGTCTGCTATGAACTGTCCAATCTGAACGCGTGATATTGCTTTGCTACGTTTGGAAACTACTGCAGGGTGTTTAATTTCGTTCGTGAACAAAATGCCTTTTAGCTGAGTCCACCTCGAGTTAATATGACCATTGATGGGCATAATTATACTTTTGACTTTTCGCCCTATCCACGCATTTCAAGCGTACCGATATAGTTTAAATCTTTGCAACTACCAACAACACCATTTTAAGAACATGCAGATAATTCCCTCATATGTTGGAGAAAATGACCATATCATTTCCATGCAAGATGTCATTCGAGTAAGCCAATCCCGAATTACCAACAGAGTCGTTTACAGGCATAAGCGGACTCTTTACGTTTCGGCCGCCAGCATCATCTGATCAGATCTGCACACCACTACGTGCTACGAAGCACATACAGCGTACATTGAGGCCGACGCAGGACCTAGTCCCCTGCGAGCGTGAACAAACGTTATTTTGCAGCTATAGACATATACCTCCCATGAAGCGTATTTATCTCACAAATGAGGGGCAATGGTTGCACATGGCGAAGCAGAGGAATTAAGATATCCTATGGAAATGTGCCTATGGCTGCTATGCCCGGGAAGGTTCGAGCGCAACGGCATCCCCACTTTCTGAGAATGTAGGGCATTAAATTTATGGAATATGATGAGAAGAATCGCCAACAATATGACTAGGAGCGCCATCCCTTTCTGAAACGTTCCTCTGTGTATGCTACGGGTGCCAGCGGCAGACCTTTTATCACTTTTGCAGCCAAACTCTTCAACTTACCTTACGGCCGCCTGCTTTGGAACCTCCATTTGAACTGCATGACATGGCTTTGCTGCATTTTGAAACTACTGCAACGTGCTCCAAATGATTCCTGAACATAATGTCACTAACGTGGCCTGGCCTCTGGGATCGATTTTGAAAATAGGGACATGGTTGGGGCCTGCGACTTACATTGACTGCGGTCCCTTGACTCAACTAACGGCCTACTGTGTCGGCCAGGGACTCACCGTGACGTACAGTGAAACACCACTTCATGGTATATGCATAGAGCCGCAGACACGCATTGTTGCAGGCTCGCATGCGGTTAGTTATTGCACCGGCCCAAATACAAGCTGTCGTTTTCCGTATCATAAGCCGTGGCGCTCCCCGTCAATAATCGGCCGGGGCTGGCATGTTGTTATTGCCCTGACCACGATGCTCCAATTTCACTCAGCACATGTCTCATGGAATCTGCACATAGCCGCATACACAGCTTGTTTCAGTCTCGCATACGGTTACATACTGCGTCAGCTTTAGCGCATGTTGCTGCGATGTACCCAGTAGGTCGTGGTGCTCCCCGAGCACGACCTGCTAATGATGGAATATTTGAATTGCCCTATTAAACAAAAATGGCTTCCGGTTGTGATCGCACCGATAAAACTAAACTGCAGCATTTGATACGGACAGACCATGCTGGCGGCCGAAACGTAAAGAGCTGTGTTTTAAGCCCATCACCGGCCATCTTGGTAACTCTCGTTCTATTGTGCGCTTGTTGGGAAGTGTGTCGCTTTTCCGCGTGTCATATATGACCGTCGGATATGATTTTTCAGGTAAACATACCTTTCATGGTATAAACATTTAGCCGCATGCACACCGTGTTTCACGCTCGAAGGCGTGTGAGTATTGCGTAGGCCTTGACGCACGCTCTGGTTACGTGCCCTGGAGGCTGTGGCACTAACCGTGAAAAGCTAACCGGGGCTAAAATATTTCAGTGGACAAATGATACTGGCGGCCGAAACGTAAGGAGTACGCCCGTGCCTATCCCCGGCCCTATTGGTAACTCTCGTTCTATTGTGTGCTTGTTGGGATGTGTACCGCTTTTCCGCGTGTCATATATGACCGTTGGGACTTGTATTTTCAGGTAAACATGCCTTTCATGGTGTAAACATTTAGCCGCATGACCACCGTGCTTCACGCTCGAAGACGTGTGGGTATTGCGTAGGCCTTAACGCACGCCCTGGCTATGTGCTCAATAGGCCGTTGTGCTGCCCAGTGAAAAGCTAACCGGGGCTAGAATATTTAAGATGCCGTTTAAATAGCTTTAGAATGATGCCCACCAGTCGTTGCACCGATGGAAACTACATTGACACGTTTGAGATGGACAAATGATCGATTTAAACTATACTGGCACGCTTGAAATGTAAAAACAATGGTAGCTGCCGAAACGCAAAGAATCTGCTTATGTCTATCAACGGCTACTATTGGCGACATCGGTCCGGACCGATTTTAATGCAGGTTCGTTCATGAATCATTTGGACCTCCAGCACTTTCTAAACGTAGCAAAGTTAGGTCATGGATTAAAATTGGACATTTCATGGCGGGCAGTCGTAATGGAAATGAGTAAATCGTTCGAAGTGGTGTTTTGGACGACCGGCGCTACCAGCCGGAAGTGGACTTCCTTATTCATTCTCCTGCACTGACGTAGCGTTTTCTCTGTTTTGTAATGTGTGACCAAGGCGTTTTATGGTATATGCACATAACCGCATACAAGCCTTGCATCAGGCTCGCAGGCGGTTAGGTATTGCGTTGGCCTTAACGCACGCTGTGGCTTTGCGCCCAATAGGTCATGGTAGGGCCCAACCGCATGCGATGACTGTGGTGGTGATTTGGTTTTTAACGGCGCGTCGGCATCGGGGCCATTTTGCGCCCACTCGATGACGGTTATCTGCCTCTGCGACGACGCGATAAGTTTGTTGTCGAATAATAACAGGCAGTATCACTGGCGCACTTACACTGAGGGGTGAGTGAAAATAACGTCAAAGTCAATGTGTGCTAAAAATGCGAGTATATCTCCAAGTTCACCACATGGGTCTCGACCGAGTAACCAATGTAGGGGCGCTGGAGGAAAAAATCGTCGCCTCTCCGTCTCAAGGCTGCCGGCATGAGACGAGGACATGTTGAACAGACAACCGGTCCCCGCATCTATCACACCGTGGCACATCCCTACTGCGTCAAGTAAAACGAGTGTGTTGCATATGTATGACCCAACCTAAGCCTACAAAGGGCGACTTCCTGAAAGGCGGCTTCGGCGATGGGAGGGTTCCTAATCACCCAGTTGGGGCTTGATTTCCCTGAAATCGTGGAGATGTCGGTCGAACATGTGCTGCCACGTATTGCGGACGTATTTGGAAATGACTGACTTTAGATCTCGAGCGGGCACATAACTTGGTATTGGGTTTCTCTCACATGCCGCAGCTTTCGCTGCGGCGTCGGCTCTTTCATTTCCCATTATTCCTATGTGGCTGGGGATCCACATAAATGTGAAACGGCAGGAAGTGTTGTCCAGCCATTCCAAGTTCCTCCCAAATTGAGCGCGTCAAAAATGAGTGGTCACGCGACGTCGCCGTCGGGTCTAATGATAACAGTGCACTACGTGAGTCGGTCAAAATGACTACATCCCTTTCAGGACGACAAGCAACGTACTGAAGCGCTGCTAAAATGGCAAACAGTTCTGAGGAAAAAACTGACATGTGCTGCGGGAGGCATAGACCCTACGGTATGGTCACCGCAAACAAATGCGCAACCCGTTCCTGTTTAGCCCTTGGACCCATCGGTAAATATTTGTAATGAGTTCGCGTATTGTGAGATCTGTTCCAACGAATAGGTGAGGAACTCTCGAGGTGAAGTGCCATTTTTATGATGTTGACAAAGTTCCAAATCATACTTCAGACTCAGACGTCTCCACGGAGCTGGGTCCCGAAGAGTGTGCGGGGCAATGTCATCCAACGTAATATCCGCCTCGTCCAGCCAGTCCCGGACGCGCAGGCACATCGGCCGCGCTGACGTGGGCCGCCCCCTCAAGAAAGAACGGATTAACGTCTGAGAGAAGATGAACTGAGAGGCTGGGTGATCCGGAAATTGTGAAACCTTTATAGCGTAATTCAAAGTAAGTCGTTGTCTCCTAAGAGGCAAGGGCGGTTCATTCGCTTCCACCAGCTTTTGTTTCTTGT